TAAATGATTACTTTCATAAAATATGGAAATTTACTTGCAGATGAAAGCTTTCTTGCAATTAAAGGGGGATTTGAGTGACGTGGGTATTAGGTCATGGCCTTTTATTGATTTGGGTGTCGTGGTAAGTCGCTTGCCTAACCCCGGGGAATTCACAGGGTTCGCTACGTTCCAGTCATTGATAGCTATGGAAGTCCCTCTCTATCTCTCTCTCTCTCTCTCTCTCGATATTGACAAAAGGAATGCAAAATAAGAGTAGTCCTCGGCGCAGCCGTCCGGGCAAACTTTCCCTCACCACGCTGTATAGCCCTATGCCCATCTTTATTAACCCAGTCGGTGCAGAGCAGAAAAGTAGGACAATAAAACCCCTCTCTCTCTCTACCCCCTCCCCCCTCTCTCTCTCTTTATTTCTGTCTCTCTCCCTATGACGTCTCTTACGTAACACCACAATCCCTTATCTTGTTCGTTCTAAGTACTACTATTTTTAGCATTGTTATGGACTGATAGGGTTTATTCCAGCATTAAATGTCTCATTCTACTGTCTTGTCGAATCATTTTAATCATCTGCATATCGGTCAGACAGTTTGTTAAGACTCTCAGAAATAAAGTCGACATTTCATTTACATGATACGGCAAGTACGATTTTATCATAGCTCAGTATAAAGATCGAAGCTGTTCTACATGCCACGGCGCTAACATATACACATTCTGGAGTGATACTTTTATTTTCGTTCCTTGAGGGTTTGTTTTTTTTTTCTTTTTTTTTCTTTTTTGTTTTTTTTTTTTTATTGCGTCTGCGGGTTAAGGCTCATTGCGATTTTATTTCAGTCAGATTTATGTGTAGGAACGAAACAGAAAGGCTTCTGCCAGTGGTGCAGGACCGAGGGCCTGGCAAGGGACAATGTATAGTCGTTCGGATTGGACGAAAGACCGAGGTCCAGCGTACACATTGGTGTACATGTAAATATCCCTTAGCAGTTGGAGTTATGTATAAGAATAGACCGTAGCGGCGTTGTTCGGGCCAAATGTCCCTCATAGCACACTGTATGGCGTATTTTTGTCTTCATTAACCCAGTCAGAGGAGAAAAGTATTATGTTAAACCCCATTTCATTTGGAAGTTTTTGCCTGTCGGTAAACCTTCAACTTATGACTTGAATGGTTATTTCGATCTCACTTTTGTACGTGACAAGGAGAATGCCTGCCTGTCTAACATTGTGGGGTTTTGCCAGGTCCACGGCTTTCCTCCAACTTTTAAACACCCCTATGCGCAAGGAAATTATTGAAATAAAATTGAACTATATGTCAGTCCCTGATGACAGTGTTTTTATTTATTGAACGATAAACACCATCTCTCTCTCTCTCTCTCTCTCTCTCTCTCTCTCTGTACATTTTTGTTTAAACACAAGACTAGAATCACCATCCTGTTCGGACTGCCTGCCGCCAGCCTCTCAATCCACTCTAGCTATTCTACATATACTATTCAAAAAAAGTAGGGGATATTTGATTTTGGGGGCATAATACTAAAAAATGCAAATGACTACGAAAAAAGTCACTATAGAACCTAACAGAAGAAACATTTCCAGTTACATGTGACGCCCAAACGCACCAATAGCTACCGCATGGAATGCAGGTGATGCTTGGGATCATCATGGGGGTCCAACCCAAGATTTGCACGACTCTGACTTTGAATGTTACAGTCATTGTGGCATTGAATTCCAGGGTGGAAACATCAGTTTAATTGTTTTAGTGACCAGAAAACAAATTTTGATATGCGTCGGCTTACCCAAAATGAAAGTTTACGTGCCCTTGGCATGCTACAGATCGGCACAACACAGGCGGTTGTGGCGCGGACGATGAATGTTTCTCAGTCTGTCATAAGCAGGCTATGGTCCAGATACCGTGATACACAATCTGTACAGGACAGACCACGCTCAGGTCGACCAAGGGCGACAACTCAAGCCCAGGATCGATTTATCCGTACCTTGGCCTTGGGAAATCGTGTCATCACAGCAAATCAGATCAGCGCTCGTCTTCAAACAGACACTGGTGTGAGAGTGAGTGGCCAGACGATTCGGAATCGACTGCATAGGGGTCACCTTCGCGCCCGACGTCCTCGCGTGATCCCTTGTTTGAGAGATCATCACATTCAGGCAAGACGTCGTTGGTGTAGGGATCGTCAACACTGGGATAATCGACGCTGGAGCAATGTGATGTTTTCAGATGAGTCAAGGTTCACTGTTGATTTTTTGGACAGACGTAAGAGGGTGTGGCGTCGTCGAAACGAGCGCTTCCAAGACGTTAACGTCATCAGACATGATCGATTTGGGGGTGGTTCTGTTATGGTGTGGGGAGGCATCACTGTTGCTGGAAGAACGGCTTTTCATGTTGTTGCAGGGCGTGTTACAGGCCAGTACTACCGGGACAACATCTTGGCAGTCCATGTTGTGCCGTTCGCACGACGTCATGGCCGCCGTTTCATCTTCCAGGATGACAACGCAAGATGTCACAGGGCCAGGATCGTTACAGGTTACCTCCAACAACAGAACATCACCACATTACCTTGGCCAGCACTGAGTCCCGACCTCTCCCCCATCGAGCATGTCTGGGACATGCTTGGACAGAGGTTACGTCAACGTCAACAACGTCCTGCCAATGTCCAAGAACTTGCTGCTGCGTTGCAACAGGAATGGGACAATCTGGACCAAAATGACCTTAGACGTCTCATTAGGAGTATGCCACGTCGGATCAATGCTTGTTTGACAAACAGAGGAGGATTTACCCGTTACTGACTTGGTTGTGATGCTGTGGTAACTTTGCTGTTTGACCCCGGGTATCATTTTACCCTTATAATGGTCAGTCTGTGCCTGACTTAGTCTAACGATCATTTGGAATAAATCGATGAATGTGAACTTCATTTCATTTTGTCATTTGTTTCTTCGTCAGTTTCATTAGGTGACTTTAATAACACTTAAAAATCAAATATCCCCTACTTTTCTTGAATAGTATATAACAGGCTAAATCAAAAAGTTAACGCCAGTTCAATTTTTTTCAAGGTCGCTGAGATGTAAATAAGATTAGGGCATGTTAATTGTGATTGTTGGCGAGATTGTCGGTTAGGCTTAGGGTAAGCATTGGGGCTGGGTCCGAAAAATTGAGCTGGCCTTATCATTTAGCACTAACCATATATAACAGATAGTATACACCCACCATCTCACACTTCATTTCCTGTTTGTGTTGAAGCATACACAAAGTTTTAGCATTGAACGGCTCGTACTGTGAATAATACTTACGAACCAATGTGAAACATGGCCAAGAGCTCAGCACTACAGAGTGGGCATAATGGACTTATACCCATTATCCAAAATTCATGCTATGGGCAACCCTGGAAGTACCTGTGTGTAAAAATACTTAAATTCGATAATAATCACGTTTACCATGCGGACACCTATAACGTGTTTGGCGAAATGGGTTTATAGGCTAATATCCATTAACCAACAACCTTGCCATGGGCAATAACCCCGGGTGGGCTGGTGAGTGAAATCGCTCATATTCGATAAGAATCATGTTTATTATTTATTATGTGGGTGTGTAAAAAAAAGAAAAAACAGAAAAGAAGAAAAACAATATAAGGGCATGTTGGAATGTGCAATAGGCTAATATTCATTAATCAACAATGATGCCATGGGCAATAACCCTGGGATTACTTGAGTGTAAAAGCACTCAATTTCGATACTAATCACGTTTAGTATGTGGGCGTGTAAAAAACGAAGAAGGAAAACAACAATAACAGGGCATGCTTGGGCGTGAAATAGGCCAATATCCATTAACCAACAATGATGCCATGGGCAATAAACCTGGGAGTACTCGTGTGTCAAATAACTCATATTCGATAAGAACCACTTTAGTATGTGGACGTGTAAAAACAACAGCAACAAATTTAAAAAAAATGATATATTTGAAAGAGAAATATTTTTTTTTGTCTAAGGTAAAGATGTCGGGCACATCTGGATTCATATTGATTAAGCTTAAATTATGCCAATGGCAATAACGCAGGAAGTACTTGTGAGAAAATACTCAAATTTGTTAGGTATTTTGTTTTGTATTTTTTCATAGAAAAGTAAAAGACATCAAAAGGCCACGTTTATCATATGAGCGTATAAAACGACCACAAAAGGTCATCTTTATCATGTTGGCGTACAACAACAAAAGGCCACGTTTATCATTTGGACGCATCAACCGACAACAAAAGTTCATGTTTACCGAGAGAGAGAGAGAGAGAGAGAGAGAGAGAGAGATGGGGTTTAACGTCCACTCAACACAAACTAGGTCATTTCGGGACTAACACATGGTTCAATTTTATTTCAATAATTCGCTTGCGCGTAGGGGTCTTTATCAGTGGGAGGAAACCGGAGGACCCGGAGAAAATCCACGAGGTTGGACAGGCGACCCTACTCCTTGTCACGTACAACCGGGGATTCGAAACCACGCCAGTTGACTCAATGACAGGCCTTATGATACAGCACGCACATGCTAACCATTCGACCATCCAACCCCCCTCATGTTTACCATGTGGGCGTACAGCAACAAAAGTTCATGATTTATCATGAGCGTACAGCAACAACAAAACCCCCACCTCTAACATTTGGGTGTAGAAAACAACACAAGTTCATGTTTATCATGGGGGCGTACAACAACAAGAAGAACAAGAGGCCATGTTTATCACTTGGGCGTATATACGCAACACAAAGGACTACTTGTATTCCGTGGCCGTATATAAACATAAAAAAGGCTACTTTTATCCCGTGACCGTATATACGTGGGCGTATACAAACAACAAGGCATGTTTACCACGTGGGCGTATACAAACAACAATGAGGGGCTACGTTTATCATGTGACTGTATAAAAACAACAAGAACAAGGCATGTTTACCACGTGGGCGTATATAAACAACAACAACAACAACAAAAACAAACAACCACAACAAAATCATTGTTTGCTTACCTAGGAGTAAAGTAAACATATCAGACACAGCAAGACTAAGTAGATAATAGTTAGTGGCTGTATGTAAATAGGGATTCCGTCCAATAACCAGACATGTGGACATATTACCCACAATTCCTGTCACAAATATTACACAGTACACAATAGTCAGAGTTATAACCGCTACCATTCCCTGACGTTTCTCACCCATCTCCTTATTTAGATATTCATACGTGTTAAATACGTCACTGCTGTTACTAATGCTATCTAAAGTTACTGTTAAAATAGCATGACTTATGTTAACCGCCATTTTCTACTTTATTGAAGATTTAAAATTCCGAATACGTCATTGTTTAGTATGTTTTTAAAATTAATTTTATTCACTTCAGTATTTTAATTAGACTGTGTTTTTGATATCTAATAGTAAGTGCAAGCAGGAGGACCACACTACACACAATCAAAACAAATCAATATGATACCTTATGCGCCAATATAATTAGTTTACTGTATTCCGTTACCATGACGACATTAGTTCACAATTTTCGGAACAAACAACTATTATGTTTGGCAAGATGAAATTTAGAGCATAGCAACGTGGAAATTCACATTAAAATAAAGTTGATGACATTTTCTAGTTGCTGTGAGTCCTGTGTCGTCTGTGTTGAAAAGTGGGAGGAACTGTTTTCAATTGAAAATGACTCCCGACGTTCGATAATAATTGACGACGTCGGTGATAAAGATTATGTGGCGATCTTCTATGCTGTATTCTCTTTAAAACCTGAAATAAAGAATCAAAATTATTAAAATAAAGAAATGCAGTTCACATCCTCAGATGCTCGCCATAGAACAATCGACACCTTAGCTCCGACACAGCAAAACATTAAAGTGCTCCTATACGGATCGGAAAAGCTAACACATGAAGAAAATGTGTCAGTATTTAACCATGTACATATTTCAAATTTATGTTTACATGTATGTAATATTATAGGTTATGTGTACATATATATATTTTTTCCCCCTTTCTATCGCTTCCTTTTTTTTTGAAATCTATTGTAATATTGTGTAATTTATTTGTAACCGGGAGAGGGGTTTATGTAGGCTTTGCCTGTTCCCCAATCCCCTCAGTTTCTGAATAAATATTGTTTATATAAAAAAAACTCCCCAAAACGGAGAATCAACCAGCCGTAGCACCACCTTGACTTAAAAAAAATGAATTGCTTCAGTGGTATTTGTGTTTAACGGTACTTGATATTGGATAAATAACACAGCCCCGGGTGAAACATTTCAGTGGTTTCAATAGTATTCAGTGATGCACTGGACACATTTCTATGGATTACAATTCTTGTTTACTGAGAGGCGCAAGTTAAAGATACATTATGGCAGATCAGATAAAAGAGTTGGTCGTTCTTCTCACTATAATAGTTAAAAAACTAGATAATGTAAAGGGAATTTGCTGAAAAGTTCAGTCAAATTGGTCTACCCTGAACCAAGTATTTAGCGATCATCATTACTAAAGTCGGTACGATAATAAATATATAGTCTCGATCATCCATTCTTTGATTTAATCAGAAACAGCTGACCGGGTTCTAATCCAGTAAATATCGCAGGCTAGCGATGTCATCGAGGGATGCGAATGGTCTGGAGTAGTTAATAAATGTCTAATAAATACTTTAGATAACAGTAATAAGTAGCATGTCATTGATTGGTAATTATGAATTAAATTTTGTTTTGACATGTATATAATTCCCACCATGTTTTACAGTCGATCATTGCGAAAAATGTTGCTCATATTAATAACAATCGGTATCTTATCTTAAAATTTTCTGAACTTTATCTAACAAATGCAATGAAATTAAATGGGGTTTAACCTCGCTACTTTTCTGCTCCGACTGGACTAATGGAGACGGATATAGACCACACAGTGTGTTTAGAGAGACATTTTGTCCGGACAGTGGCACTATCTGCCGAGGGCTATTTTACGTGCGCGCCAATGTGTAAACGGGACCTGGGTTTCTCGTCCCATCCCAGCGACTATATGTGTTGCCCCTTGTCAAATTCTCCGTCCTGCACCACTACACCTGACAATTCCAGGCCGATGAACTTTCTCAGCCAACACAGTGATCGAATACTGGACCTCCCGGTTAGCGAGACAATGTTGTTGTTTTTTTTCAAATGAACATTTTTTGATGTATTTATTGTTCAAAAAAAGATTAAAGAGTGAGCCAGCGGCTTACTCACTGAGACACCGTGGCTCCTATCTAACACATAACAAAAATGAAATGAAATGGGGTTTAGCGTCCTACTGTTCTGCATACGGGCATACGGCATACGGCATACAGTGTGCTATGAGGGAAATTCTGCACGGACAGCGGCACTACGGCCTACTCTTATATCGAATTCGAACTGTCAAGTGATCTTTTACGTGTAAACAAATAACTAAAACAAGTAACATTAATGATAATGAATAATAATAAACTGTGTTGTTATGAACGTGTTGTTACCATTTTATTAATAGACTAATACAATAACAATTGGACCTTTTACCAATACTCTTATCGCCTTTCAGTTAAAATATTGTTCAAGGCCCATCGAGTTTGAAATATTGGAACACAATAGTTCATTAATCACATGAAATGATAACATTCCACGCAGCACTCCAATATCACTTGTCCATAATAAACCCCAAATCCCCTAGGGGTGGTGTTAATAATTTACTAAACCTTTACAGATGAAAACTGTGACTGTCTCGCGGCTGTTTTTCTCCACAAGAAGACGGTGTCGGCACTGCTTGATTATTAAACCACATCTATGGAATTGCTTTGGTAATTTGATTAGACGAATACTTTTAAGTTATAATAAAATCTCATCAAGTGTCCCTATGAAAAGGTCAAGAACAACAAATTACAAATGTCATTTATTTATTAAAAATATTCCGAGATTGGAAGACATTCGCGTCTGGGATTTTAAATGCACTGAAAAGTTAAAGAGAGAGAGAGAGAGAGAGAGAGAGAGAGAGAGAGGGGAATGGGGTTTAACGTCCACTCGACACAAACTAGGTTATTTCGGAACTAACACACGGTTCAATTTTTATTTCCATAATTCGCTTGCGCGTAGGGGTCTTTAGCAGTGGGAGGAAACCGGAGGACGCGGGGAAAACCCTCGAGGTTGGACAGGTGACCCTACTCCTTGTCACGTACAACCGGGGAATAAAAACCACGCCAGTTGACTCAATGACAGACTTTATGGTACAGCGCGCACGTGCTAACCATTCAGCCCCCCCTCCCGCCCCCGCCCCCCTGAAAAGTTATAGCGTTACGGGTAGTGCTAAAACTTTAATAGACAAAATCGACAACAGTCCAGTTGACCCAGACAAGCATGGTACGGTTTAGGCTAAGAAAGGCCAGAGTTGATTCCACTAATGTAAGAATTGATTAACGTTTCCTTTCGGGGCTTCTATATTTGTGAATTTCTTCCTATTTATAGTCATCCATTGATAAGCATTTGCGGGTATTATATTATATTTTTGTCTCGTTCGGCCAGTTTACTGTCCTTCAAGTTTTACGATGTGGTTTCCTCTTGTCAGTAGTGCAAGACCAGAGGGTCCGACAAGGACAGCTGTCTAGTCGTTCGGATGGGACGAGAAATCGAGGTCCCGTATATACATTGGCGTGCACGTAAAAGATCCCTTGGCGGTTGGAATTCGATATATACGTAGGCCTTAGTGTCGCTACCCGGGCAAAATGTATTTCCCTCATAGCACACTGCATGGCGTATGCCCGTATTCATTAGCCCAAGTCAGAGTAGAACAATAGGACGTTAAACCCATTTCATTTCAGTTGAGCTTATCGAGAGTTGTATAAAAGGTGCATTTTTTGCTATAATTATTTGATTTACATGTACTTAAAATGGTTTCACAGAGATACAAGTTGTTATTTGCGGTCTCGCGAGTAGTCAAACACTCTGTTCAGTTGAGCTTATCGAGAATTGTTTAAAAGGTGCATTGTTTGCTATATTCATTTTCGTTACTTTAAATGGGTTCACGGGGAAATATGTTGTTATTTGCGACCTATGTTCCAAAGAAATTTGCAAATTCTGATTAAAAATTGGTGAGAAAACATGTTTCATTTATTACTTCCAAATCACAAAACAGAAATTTTGATATTTTGATTTACTTTTCTAAAAATGAAATGATGTTTAACGTCCTACTATTCTGCACCAACTGGGCTAATGAATACGTGAACACGCAATCGGTATACAGTGTGTTATGCGGGAAATTTAGCCAACCGCGTGGGTTTTCTCCGGGTCCTCCGGTTTCCTCCCACTGCTAAAGACCCCTATGCGCAAGCGAATTATTGAAATAAAATTAAACCATATGATAGTCCCGAAACGAGCTAGTTTGTGTCGAGTGGACGTTAAACCCCACCCCTTCTCTCTCTCTTTTTTTTCTCTCTCTCTCTCTCTCCCGGACAGTGGCACTTCGGCTTACTCTTATTTCGAATCCCAACTGTCAAGGCAAGGGTTCTTTTACGTCCACGCCAAGGTGAACAAGGGACCTCCGGACAATTAGACACTGTTCATTGTCAGATCCCCAGTCCTACACCAACGACAAGGGGGCGGTAAACCCCAATCAACTTTATCGGCCAACTGTGGGAGCGAACCTGGAACCTCCAGGTTAAGGCCGAGTCACACTAGTGGATTTACCCTGAAGTTTTATATCCATAAGCTAAATCCTTTCGTGTGAACGGGAACAAGTAATATTCACGTAGAATTGACCGATCAAATGCAAGCGCGTATTGAATTGGACCGGGCCGAAACTGTATTTTTTATTTTTTATTTCAACTGCGGTCGATGTAATCTCAAGATTACCATGATCGTGAGAAAAGGCTTATTGACATCACATCACGAAAAAAACATAGGATTCTATTTAATATATGACCACAAAAGACGTTCGATAGGATTTGTCTTAAAGGGATAAATCCACCAGTGTGACTCAGCCTTTAGCGAGACAGCATATTACTCACTAAACCATATTTTTGAAAACCTGCTAGGGTTGTCATCTACTAATTAAACGCCATCCTATCAAAAATACTGAAACTCTACATAGCTCCCATTCCACAATGTAGATACCAATAAAAGAATTGTAATATAGTTTAACCCTTTGATTGCGAAAAGTCTCAAACAGATGACAGGCTTTATTTTCCATTCCATGCAGCACGTCGCATGTCTACGACTTTGTTGTATCAACGAAAGTTGGCCAATATAATGAAATTTATAGTGTTTTCTGTAGTAAATTCTACAGTTATCTGTTTG